AAATTTCTAATATGTTTACAGTCACACAAAATAAAAAATAAGATAAGAAAACACACAATGTTTAACATAGTTCGATAAGTATATTTACTTTCATGAGTAAAACTAAAAATAAATTTCTGTTATGATAAAAATTGAGAGTACATTACTGATGGAATTGTAAAATCTTATATAGACAAAATACTAAAAGTTTTTTTTCTTAAATAGTATAAAATATACACAAAACATTCTCATAATCAAGTCACATTAACAAATTTTATATTAGCTTGAATTACTTCTATCGACATATACTAGCTTGAATTATCTCTATTGACATCAAAAATAATTATCTCATTATGTTGTCTTGCCAACATGCCATTACAAGGACACTATTAAGTATTGCATACTTTAATTAAGTATTGGCAATACTTAATTAAAGTATGCAATATTTAATTAAAGTATGCAATACTTAAATTTGCTAAACGGAATCGCTCTGGTCATCATATCTATAGGATCCTCGTGTGTATACTCCTTCTGTATAACTTTAATACCCTATGATATAATGTCTCAAATGAATTGATATTTGTTATCAAGTTCTTCACTATACCCTAAACCAATTTATCTACGTCTAAATTACTTTGTTTCTACAAATCGATTATCCATGTAACTGATAATACTGTGTAACTAGATTTTTATATCTCTTTAGTGGTTTAATCATTCTTCTCTCTCTGTTTATTGTAATGTTATATGGTTGTTGATTAGATACATTATCATCTTCTTGATTAAGAATTTACGCCTCATTCTCTAGATTATTGAATTGAACTACTAGACTATCAACCTTTATATCTACTCGTTCTTTGACAACGTAATCTGATTGTATTACTGCTTTCTCATTCTAACTGTTTAGTGAAACAAATTCATTAAATGTCATATCTCTACTAATAACTAATCCTAGGGACTTTGGATTACTATATTATAACTTATAACATTTTCACTCTATATGTATATATGTTATTATCTTTTTAAGTAAAAATGTTAGATTGAGTTTTTTTTACCTCGTGTTTAGCTACCATAACAAGGAATCTAACTGTTACAAGATGTTTCTTTCCCCACTTGAGTACATCATAATTTGTTGGAATAAAACTCAATTTCATTATTATAACTACACCAATATACATTAATAAATTAAACTTTTGATCTCGTTCGAATATTATAAATCAGTTATTATCAGTTCATAATACACTTAAAAAATAATAAATTTTATATTGTTAGTGAAGTTCAAATTCATAACTTTTCAAATAAAGTATTCATTAAATAATCGTATCCAATGGTGTTGGTTATCTTGTTGTTAGTGTGCAAATATCATCTAGAAATCTTCTTTAAAAAATAGTAGTAATGGAGTTTATGCTTTAAATTCTATGTGAAATTTGTGATAGAATATTATCTTTTATAATCATTTTCAACAGTATTTTTTATTGCAAAAATCAGAATAAAATGAAATACAGAAATGAGTTCCTTTTTTTAATGAAGGATTGAGTTTATTACAAACAGAATGGTGGTGAAAGCTGGAAAAAATCTGTCAGGCAAAATGGAGGTTCATGAGTTACACCAAGAACGCAGGCTTTTACAATAAAAACAGCTTCTACACCTTCAGTCCAAACCCACCATCTTCCTTTCTCAGTCAATGACACTCTGCTTCTTACGATCATCATCTTCCTCTCCATTACCCCTTTTATCTTTTGTCTCTCTGTCTCTGTCTGCTTATTATGCCATTCAATTTTCTCCACCTAAACCCTAAATCCATTCAAAAGAAAAAGAAAATCACGGGTTGGGTAGTAGCTCTCAAAAATTAAGTTGATTGAAAAAGTTTTTTGAGAAATGATCTAAAATGGTAACAATTTAGCAGCTACTTGTTCCTTCAAACGTCCCATCCTTTCTTTTACAAAGGGTCCCTTCTTCTTCTTCTTCCCAAAATACCCACACACGCTCTTTTCTTCTTCCTTGTTCGTTGCTCCATTGCCAAGCACCATCATCAACAAGACAACACCACAAACAACAACACTCTAAACAGACAAGAAAAACCCAATGCCGTCTCTCCTTTCTTCATCCATGCCGGCAATGTTTTAGGAAAATACCCACAACAACAAGACTCTTTCTTCTTGCTTCTCTTCTCTTCGATTACACTTTTTCTCCTTTTCCTCTACGATGCTGGATCTTAATCTGGGGACTGCCTCCAGCTCCGATTCAGTTGACGTGTTCAGTGATAAGCTTCTGCAACTTTCTCCCGCCACCCAAATGGAGAGTTCCGGTAGCTTCAACTCTTCTATTGTCAATGCCGAGGCAACCGGAGACGATGACTCCTGCTCCAACACCCACCCTCTAGTTTACTCCTTCGATATCTTAAAAACCAACGATGAATACCAGGATTCCACGACGAGAAACAAGAAAACAGTGAGAGTTCACGCACATGAAGCTGATGATACTCACGATCGGACGATCCAGTTTTTCCCAGTGAGTGGAATCGGTGCTAGCGGAACTAGTTCATTGTCTTCAAACACGCGGCAATTGCTGGATCTCGGTTGCAGGGTGGTGGAATACGGTATACCGTTGGAGCAGGGGATTGCAACCCAGCAGCAACCAGCGAAGAAGAGCAGGCGTGGGCCAAGGTCAAGGAGCTCACAGTATCGTGGAGTCACGTTTTATCGGCGGACTGGGAGATGGGAATCGCATATTTGGTTAGTAAAATCCATGACACGTTTGATCACCGTGATTCTTTGATTACTTTCCTTTTGAGGAGTTAATTAGTATTGGTTCTGATGGGTGCTTGGTTTCAGGGATTGTGGAAAACAAGTATATTTAGGTGAGTAGATTAAGCTTGTGATTAGCTCTGGGTTGATCTCAAAATCTTTTAGGACTTGGATTTTCTGATTGGTTTGTCAAAATCCTATAATTTTGTTAATCTGCCATGCTTCAGGTGGCTTTGACACTGCTCATGCTGCAGCAAGGTACTAATACTAGTAAATATATGGAAGAAGTTCATGGAGTTTTTGGTTTTTTGTTTCTTTTTTTCCTCCTGTTTTGGGTTCTTATGTAGTTTATTATGTCAGGGCATATGATAAAGCAGCTATAAAATTTCGTGGGGTTGATGCCGATATTAATTTTAATGTTAGTGATTATACTGAAGACATTAAGCAGGTAGGTCCACTTGATGATTTTAGAATTACCATCAATGTAATTTGGTTCAGTTTATTGATTCTGTTTTGCCTCTCTTTATGGTTGTGATGCTTTTATGTCTTTCGTGCAGATGCATAATTTTACGAAGGAAGAATTTGTGCATATCCTGCGTCGCCAGAGTACTGGATTTTCGAGAGGAAGCTCCAAATATAGAGGAGTGACACTGCACAAATGCGGGCGATGGGAAGCTCGTATGGGACAATTTCCAGGCAAAAAGTGAGAAACTCTTTCCGTAATCAATTTTTGTTTTGGCCAATTCTTCTGTTTCAAACGCAGATTTAATTGAATTTCTCTGTTCTAATTTTCTTAAGATGTGAGTTTATATATATTGGTTTGAATTTCAGAAACTAAATGAAATTTTGAATTAGTTATGAAAATAAGTGGGACATTGGTTTTTATTGGATTGTATGCATTGCTTACATGCAGGTATGTATATCTTGGACTATTCGATAGCGAGATAGACGCTGCAAGGTTCTAATAATCATGAATTCCTTCATTCTTTATGTCTAAAATGTCTAAATTTCACACCTATCGACTTCCATTTCAATTATGTGTTGTTATTCTTTGGAAACTCAGGGCTTATGACAAGGCTGCCATTAAGTGCAACGGGAAAGAAGCTGTGACGAACTTTGAGCCAAGCTCGTATGATGGAGAGATAATATTAGAAGCTGAAAATGAAGGTACAAATTGCTGTCTCGTTTGATCTAATGTTGGCTTTTTTTTTTGTTTTGGGTGTCAAGCAAAGAACTCCCTACTTCTTTTGTGGATCACTATAGTTTGAGTTGTTAGCATTTATTTTGCAGATGGAAATCAGACTCTTGACCTGAATTTGGGAATTGCTTCGAGCACTGCACAAAAAGAGAGTAACGACATGAATGATTTCTGTTTCCAGAGCAGTCGCAATAGTATGCATAATGACAGGAGAGCCAGGGTAAAATGGAGATCATCTGTTGCAATTTCCTTTGTTTCTGGAATTACGTAAAGCTTTAGATTTTAAACTTAATCCTTAGAAACCCTTCCTGTTTTCGTGCAGATTGAAAACTCGGTGATAGTATCAGGAAAGTTGCAACCACCACATGGCCCTGCAACGGTATCTGATCACCCTCCAAACTGGGGAGGTCCAAACAGTTTCTTTCCCAACAATAAGGTCATTTCTGTATGTAGTTCAACTAGTATGATTGATGTTTTCAATTCAGCATTATAAGCTCTTAATTCATCATGCACATAAATTCCATTTTGAATTATCTGGGACCTAGTAAATTCTCCTCTTCTCCAAACCACGACTTTGATTGAAGGAGAAAACTAGATCATCTTAGGTCTCTGTGAGATCACGAAGTGCTTACTGCGCATCTCAGACATCTTTGACCTTGTAGTAGAAACTACCACAAAAACTAGGCCTGGCAGAAGCCATGAATGTGAAATTACAGAAAGAATATATATATATTCATGTTTGTGTTGTATATTACAGGAAAGAGCAATGGAGAAGAGAATGGTACCAAATTGGACATGGCAACTCGAAACTCGGTGTTTGGGATCAAATCCAGTGCCACTCTTCTCTGCTGCAGCATCATCAGGATTCTTATCTTCAAAAAGTATAACACCACCAACTGCTGCTAATCAAGTTTATCATCCGAATGCAACAACGATGACGGTCTACCGCAAACACCCAGTAAATCTTCCGGCAAATACTACCAACCCTAATGTGTCCTTCTACTACTGCAGTAGCTGAGAGGTAGAGAACGTCTTGTAAAGCCTTTTCTAAACCTGTCCATGGGTGGTAATGGCACGAGTAGAATTGCTTGCTTTCCTTTTGGTTGCCTTTCAATCGAGTGAAGAAGAGAAAAGGCTGTTAGAGATTTAAGTGAAAATCAATTTACAAAATGCTATTTTAATTTAACTTCGGGTTTTCTGAGTAGAATTTCTATGAATTTTTAGCTCATTTTGTAACAGGGTTGAGAAAACAAACTGTCATCATGCACGCAATTATAACAAGATATAGCACAAAAAATTCTTTAAAAAAAAATACAAAATTTATTATGACAAAACGGAAATACGTCGTCAATAAAATTGTAAATTTTTATATAAAAAAATTATGATGATTTTTTTTGTCATAAAATTTTTTATAGTATGTATAAAATATTTTTTATGATAAATATAAAACATCAAACTCTACATTTCCAACAAAATAAATATAGAAAATATGTTGAATGAAAACCATAAATGGAAAATAGTAGTCATTCTTGGTCGAAAGGTTTCTTTCTTTATCTTCATAAAGCGAGCGTGTAGGAATTGCAGGCTCTGTCCCAGTTTCCCCCCGTTGGTTTTAAGGAACTTTCCCAAGAACAAAACAAAGAGAAGATGATGAAAAACAAAGAGAAGATGATGATGATGAGCATAAAAAAGGCTGGCATACTTTTGTATGTTTCTAACAGTAAATGTACTTTTGTTTTCGTTGACTTTTCCAAACTTACTTTTTTTAAATATACATCATATATATATATATATATATAAATGGTGCAGTAAATAAATTTTGGGTATGTTTTTGTCTTATTGGGTTTGGTGGAGGTGCAGTGAGCTAGTAGTTTCCTCATTGGGTTATAGACTAAACCCATATAAGAGGGTCCCATAAATATCCTCTTGGAAATTTTAGGATCCTCTCACCTTTTGCTTTGCTTTTTTGTCTTCATCATTTTTTGAACTACTCCCAAACTTTACTACTGACTTTTGCTCTTGTTACAGCAGTTTTTTCAATGGAGCTTAACTTATTTCTTCCAACCGAGAATGTGAATGTCCAGTGAGTAACATATATTTTATTTAGAGACTCTCTTATCATATATATGTACAGTACAGGTACGTATAAATTTACCTTCAACAGTTACTATCATCATAAATGATACGTATAATAAGATTCATCACTTATCTTTCTCTTTCGGCATAAAGCAGTTCCTGAATCATAAAAAGCAGGAACGATCACCTCTCTTCCATGATCTCTTGAGTCATGGCTGCGCCCCAAACAACTCCCAGAATTTCCTTTTTCATTGATGAACAGGAAGGAGGAAACTTAAATTAAGCTCTTCAAAACGGCGTCATTTTGAGGAGCCAAACTTGAGGCTGGGCCGATGGGCTTGGGTCTCAATTTAAGAGGCCGCCCATCTACTTTCTTTCTTTTTCACTCTTTTTCGTTCTTTTTTTTCTTTTCTTTTTCTTCATTTTTTTGTTCACTGAGTCAATTCTTTCTTTTTTATGGGCATGTAATGGAAGTTGAACAAAATAAAATAAAAAGTAAAATAAATATAAATATAAATAAAGTAAAATGTAATTAAAAGGGTAAAAAGGAATAACCAATGTAATAATTATCTATAAAAATTAATGTAATAATTAGGTCGATCATTAAGATAATAATTAAATCAAATGGATTCTTTGCATTCCCAAATCGCATAAAAATAACGATAACACAAATTTCTTAAGACGGTAAAACAAAATACACAGATTCTATAAATCTCAACCAAATATAGTTTTATAACATTAAATAAAAATTTTTAAAATGTCAGTTATTTTTATACCTACAATTTTCAAATTTTAAAATGTAATACCCTTAATTAATTTTAATTATATTAAAATTAATATATAAATATAATTTTTAAATTTTTATTTAATGTAAAAATAAAAAAAAATTAAATGGATGATGAAATTGAAAACAATTTTTAAAAAAATGGATGAAAATTTAGATTTTGCAAGTTTTTTTAAAAGAAAAATAAAAAACAAATGGTCAAAAAGAAATTTAGGAACATTGTGCCACGTAGGACGTCAAGTCAGCAGTCCCGACAAACCGGAGCGCGCCGCATGGCAAAGCACGCTGACGCAGTGCCATGCAGGAGGCCACGCTGGCGATTCGCGTATACGCGATCGGATGGTCCGAATTTGTTCCTGTGCACACAGACGGTCCGGATCCGTTCATTCCTCATACGCGATCGGACGGTCACGATTAAACACGATGAACGGTCCAGATCCACTTCCTATTTAAACTCACTCGAACGGTTCAGATCAAATCGCGATAAACAGTTAAGATTCACTTCCTATTTAAACGCGATCGGATAGTTCAAATCATATACTATGGACGGCCCAGGTTAAAAGGATACGAATATAAATAATCATCTTCACACCAAACTCTAACTCTAACCGCTAGACTCCCCCTTCCCCTGCTCACCCCCCCTTCAGAGAAGAAAGTCAGTCGTCGAGAATGGAGTCGACCGCCCCCTGCTGTCGTGCCAGAGCCGCATTCGACCGCCAAAAGAGGTAAAATTTTCTCCATTCACTCGAAATTTTATTTTGAACACCCCCATGGTCAAATTGGAGCAAAAGAACCGACAGATGAGCCGAAAACTGCGCGCAAAGGTTGGCGACGTTGCTGTGGGAAAAAACAAAAACTACCTTTGATAAGACCCTTTCCAAATTTCGTTTCGTGTAACTTTTCCACCATTGTAATCACTATTCCTTTCTCTACAAATTGACCAAAGCAAAACACCTAACTGTGAAAGTGACTTGGGGGAGCCGACGCACCGGAAAACTCTGTTGCTGGTAAACTTTAATTTTTTGACTTTTTTGACCAACCGATGCCCCTTAACGTCTTTTATCGTAGGAATGGGTACAAAATCGGCCGAAAACTTTCAACGCGAGGCAAACTGCTGCCGCGGGCAGTTTTGCCGTCATCGGAGTATGGCGAAGCCACCCTGCCGGAATTCCAAAAATGGCCAAAAATAGTTTTTAATACTGATTTTTGGCTTTGTTGGGTATTTTAAAGTACTTGGAGTGTGT